CTTCAACATAAGATACATACTGAGGGCTCCAAGATAGTGGAATAGGGAAAGGGTGAATTGCTCTAGGCTAGAGAAAAATAGTAAAAATAAATGAATTAATTAAATAAAATTTAAAAAGTGGAGAAAGTGCATTCTCGGGGGGGCAAGAGTGAGAGGGAAAATTTCAATGGAGATTCTGCAGGAGGAGAGGCACCATGGATTGTGTGGAAGGTGCAGATGTGCAGGAATGAGCAATGAGAGCAAATACAACACACAAGTCCAGCAGCCCAGAGCCAGAAAAAATGCCAGCTTTGGAGAGCAAGGTGAGATCACACTACAGCAGCCGATGTCACTGGTGATATAGCTTGAGGGAAACCCCAGTGGACTACACTACACTGTCTTTGAGTCCAGTCTGGAGCCTTGAGGGGAACTGGGTGCCTGCTAACCCAGTGGAGAAAGGGGCATGTTTCTCACTCTCCATCATCCCAACCATGATGCCTGGCAACCAGCTGAGAGACGGCAGGCACATTTTGGACATAACTAGATAGCAGATGTGGCAGCTGTTGTGCACATACCCAACAACTGGTGGAGGTAAGATGCCATCTTGTCAGCAGAGGCATCTGCAGTAGCACGGGTGCACACCCCTGGCAACGTTCAGAGAGAAGGAGCCATCTGACATCAGTACTGGGTGCAGGGACTCTTGCATGCACCCAGACACCAGCAGAGAAAAGGCATAATTGTGAAATGAGCAGAGCTGTGACCAGTGGTTATGGTGCATGTGTGTGATCCAGGGATTTTACCAGAGGGAAAAATCCACACTCCCCACTGACTTTCAGTCTGGTTGGGAGGATCGACAGGGAGCTGGGCAGCCCCATAAGACTATGAGGTGCCCCCAGCCTGTCATTATATCAGAGGCTCTGGGGATCAAACCACCTAGACATAACATGCACAGGCAGCTGCCTCCAGGAATGTCTTAGTGTTTCTCTAGACAGAAAAGGCTAGCAGGGTGGAGCAGATCCACTGCATCCCGTGACTGTGGGATCCCTGTGTGCTGAGACTATAGGAATTCTGTGACTGTTTGAGAGGGTGCAGGGTAAAGCTGGGTCTCTAGGACATCACTTTGTGTGGCTCCACATGCTCAGAGCTTCCTGATTGCCTGGGGTGGGTCACTGAGCAGGATACATGTTCACACTGAGGACTGCACAAATCCTTTGTGCAGTTCATGTAGAAGCACAGGTGAGTGTTGTACCCACTGAGGAATAACACCCAGATATTGATCACTTTGGAAGAGAGGAGATGAGGGTGTGATTATGCCAACAGAGGTAAATATACCCTCCTTTTTGTTAACAAGAGGAGATCTACCATGCTTAACTTGGGTGTCACTCGGTATACTTGTCACACCCTGGAGTACTGGCCTGAACTCCCTGGCCACACCCAGCAAACACTCCAGGGTATTCACTGAAAGAGCAGACACTCCACTAAGCCACAGAGGTATATTTTTCAAAGATAAAAGAGAAAAAAAAAAGTATTTCCACAAATGCCTAAAAATAAATGCAGAAATTAAAGAAACAAGAATACAGAAGACAACATGAGTCCCCCAAAGGAACACAACACTTCAATATTAGAATGTGAACACGAAGAGATTTATTAAACACCTGAAATACAATTCAAAAGATTAATCATAGGATTACTCAGAAGCAAATGAGAACCAAATTCATGAATTAAAGAAATTCATATATGACACAAATGAGTAACTTGCCTATGAAATTCAGATTTTGAAGAGAAATCAAAAAGAAATATTAGAAATGAAGAATTCAATATGTCAAAAAATACAGTGTGGAGCCTTAACAATAGACTTAGTAGGTCAGAAGAAAGAATATCTTAGCTAGAAGACAAATCTTTGGAACTTTCTTAGTCATACCAAAAAAGAAGAAGAAATTAGAAAAATTAAAAACAGTGTTGGAGATTTATGGGATATTATCAAATGACCCAACATATGGGTCATAAGAGTTCCTGAAGGTGTGAAAAGAGAATGGATTAGAAGGCCTATTTAGTAATATAGTTATAGAAAACTTTCCAATTTGGAGAAAGAACAGGATCCAAGTAGAAGAAGTACATAGAACTCCTCATAGAAATGACCAGAAAAGAGCTTCACCACAACACATTGTAGTCAAACTTTCAAACGTAAAATATGAAGAAAAGATTCTAAATATTCAAGAGAGAAATGCCAGATTCCTTTCAGAGGATCTCCAATTAAACTCACAACTGACTGCTCATCAGAAACCTTACAGGTTAGGAGAGAATGGAGAGAAATAGTCCAAGTCTCAAGGGAAAAAAAACTGTAAACCCAGAATACTGTACCCTGCAAAGCTCTCATTTATGAATGAAGGTGAATCAAAGACATTCAACAAGAAGCAGAAATTAAAAGAATTTGTCACCACGCGTTGAGCTTTATGAAAAATGCAAATCAAAGCCACAATCAGGTTTCACCTCATCCCATTTAGAAAGGTTCTCCTACAGAACTCAATAAAGAATAAATGCTGTGAGGATGTAGGAAAAAAGGGACCTTAATCCACTGTTGGTGGGAATGTAAACTGGTACAACCACTGTGGAAGGCAGTATGGAGAATCTTCCGAAAGCTGAAAATAGATCTACCTTATGACCCAGCCATCCCACCCCTGGGAATTTACACAAATGCAATGAAATCAGCATGTGAGAGAGTGATCTCTATCCCCCCAGGTTTATTGCAGTTCAATTCACAACAACTAAAATATGGAATCAACCCAGATGTCCATCTACTTAAGATTAAAGAAATTATGGTACATATACACTATTGAATACTACAGGGTCGTTAAAAAAAAAAAAAAAAAAAAACCCTGCCTTTTCACAACAAAATGGATGCAACTAGAAATCATTATACTTAGTGAAATAAGCCAGTCCAAAAAATAAATAAATAAATAAATAAAGACAAATACCATACATTTTCCCTGATCTATGGTAACCAATAGAGTACCTAAAAGGAAATCCATAGGAGTAAAATTGCTATTTGATGTTTGTTTACAGCCCTTGTCTCGACTGTTAAGGAACAGTATTTTTTTTTCTCCATATTATTTGTTAAACTTTTTGCTTAGTTTAGGGTTAACCTTATGAGTATAAAGTTAACTGAAAATAGATCTTAAGAATTAAGAATGGGATTAGAAGAGGGAAGAGGAAAAAGTGTGGGAGCGTGGGCAGGAGGGAGGGTAAGATAGGAAGTATCACTATGTTCCTGAATCTGTATATAGGAAATACATGAAATTTGTATACCTTAAATAAAATTTGAAAAAGATACATGCTATTTTAATTTAGCCATTATTTATCTGAGTTTTTTTGGGGGGAAGGGTGTGTGTCTAATTCTATTAAAAATTATCACAATCAAAAGCTTGTTTAACTACCACTATCTAGAAACAAAATTCTTTCATTTCCACAAACTTCCCCATGCTACATCTTTATAGTAATATGCTACCTATGACTCTGCCCACCACCAGTCTGTTCCTCACAACTATACATTTGGCATTTCAAGAACACTCTATCAAATGGACCATATCTTTTGGATATTTTTGAGATTAAATTTCATGTATGCAAAATAACACGAGATTCATTGAAGTTATTACATGAACCAATACCCTATTCTATTTGCTCCGTTTTTTTATTGTATGACTACATTAAATCTTATTTATCCATTCACATGATGAAGTTCAATTGAGTTGAGTTGTATTGTCATAAAAAACAAAGCTTCCAAAAAGTAGCATATACATGCAATTGGATACTACTAAGCTTTATCAAGGAATTAAATTATAATACATCCTATAACATGAATGAACATTGAAGTTATTCTGGTGAAATAAGCCAGACACAAAATGTCAATGACTACAAGATTATATTTACATGAGGTAACTAGAATAATTACACTCCCCCCCCCCCCTTTTTTTTTTGACAAGCAGAGTGGACAGTGAGAGAGTGAGATAGAGAGAAAGGTCTTCTTTTTGCTGTTGGTTCACCCTCCAATGGCCGCCGTGGCCGGCGCGCTGCTGCCGGCGCACCGCGCTGATTCGATGGCAGGAGCCAGGTACTTATCCTGGTCTCCCATGGGGTGCAGGGCCCAAGCACTTGGGCCATCCTCCACTGCACTCCCGGGCCACAGCAGAGAGCTGACCTGGAAGAGGGGCAACCGGGACAGAATCCGGCACCCCGACTGGGACTAGAACCTGGTGTGCTGGTGCCGCAAGGTGGAGGATTAGCCTAGTGAGCCGCGGCACTGGCCTTAATTACACTTATAAACGCACAAAGTGTAACTAACGGTAGTTACCAGTAGCAGGAAGGAGGGGGAAAGGGCAGTTATTATTTAATAGATTTTAGCTCAGAACAGTGAGAAGTTTCAGGAGATAGTGGCAATTGTTGTATGTCCTTTATGTCACAAGACTGTATACATAATAATGGCCAAAATTATAAATTTCATGTTTTATATATTTTACAACAAAATAATAGTAAAATAAATATATAGCTATCATAAGTATGGTATATGTCGTATAAAGGAAAATAATGCAAACTAAAAGAATACAGTGTATCTAGGTGGGGCTATTTTAGGTAGTCATGAAGACAGATTTCTCTGAAACTGGAGTATCTGAATGGAAGAGAAGCAGTCAGTCAATGATGCACTGAGGCAGTAGCAGTCTTAGTCTGTTAACAGTAACCAGAGTTGTGTGTCCACATGTTCATGCCTGTATGTACAGCAGGTGTACACAAGTGTATGTGCATTTATGGGTAGATAATTCTCTATTGGATATAAGAATCAAGGATTTCAACATGACTAACCAGCAAAAACCACTTACGGTATCCCAGAGATGAGAGTGACCAAAATAGATGGCAACTAAAGGAGGGATCATGTTTGTATTAAAGCAGACAGCCACTTAGCATTGCACTGGAGGCCTCTGGGGAACGCTCCTATGAAAAGTTCTACATAATTATGAAAGGAGTTATTTATTAACCTAGGGTTGAAGGCCAAACCAGAGCTATTCCAGTTTGCAAAGTTTATTTGGCTCTATATTGCTAAATCCAGTCGCCTCCCTAACTCTAAGGCATCTGCTGGAGGGACAGCTTCCTTCTCACTGAATCCCTGCTCAGCGGAAACCCTAGTAAGTCATTTCTGGTAAATGGGTTTGCATCCCTCGGTCTAGTGTCTGGAGGCTTGACTTGGTCGTGGAGGCCTGAAAGGAGGCTTTCTATGGGTGGGAGAAGGGGAGTGGTAGACAAAATCATGCTGAAGGTGTCTCTCTGCTTGTGCTGACACACCTATGACTTTCCTCCACTACCTGAGTAATGGCAAAGGAGACTGCCTTCATTTGCAAAGGGTTACACAGAGGACTACGTAGATGGGGATAGGATGCTGGAACAGCAGAAGGAAAGATTTTGAAGGTCAGGTGAAATGTTGAGATTGAGAAATTGGAGGGAGATATGAGTAGGTTGTCTAATTACCAGTGATTTTGACTCACAAATACAAGGAATTCCTGCCATGAAGTAGAAAGAGGCTTCACATCCCACCAGGGCCAACGTATTGATAACTTCCAAGAATGAATATTCCCTCTAGCAAACCCATCTTCCTGTGGGAATAAGACACCAATAGGAAAAAAAACTCGAGTTATTTCCGGGAATGGTCAGTGACTAGTAGATGGCCTGATCTGAAGTCAGGACATGGGGAATTCCTCTCTGTTCCTCTCTGGATTGTCAGAACACAGTTTAGTGCTTGCCCCCAAATAAGTTATGGGAAACCAGCCACGAAGATAAATCATCTAGCAATTTATAAAAATGGGATGCAGGCTGTTTATGGACCCCAAAGGGGAGGTGAGGGGAGAGAGAGGGAGCCCTTGCAGAAACCGAGATTTCCATTCATTCCACTCCTTAAGGCAACAGGCACAGGTGAGCTGGTCGTATGTAGTACATTTGCTGTCACTAACATTAAGAGGTATATTCACAACTTTCCAGCAGCAACACAAGATCCCTGAGCTCTGATGACGGCCTCTCTAGGGTTCCCACTACATGTTGTTATAAATACTTTTGTTCAAGTACTAATTTCACAATGTCCCAAGGAATATTTACATTTCCAAATCTCCATTCCAAAGGCTAGGAATTGGTCACCCATTTCCACATTGCCAGTGTCCAGTTACAGGTCAGAGGCCATGCTTGGTAAATATGTGCTGATTAACTGAAGAAGATGCAATCGTCTCTCTTGACTTTCCCCATCCCAAGGTGAGCATCATGTTCCTGCTTCCATCGCTCCCTCTTCTTCTCCTGAGTGTGATAGCAGCATCTTATTCAGAAGCCATAACCCATGAGGACAGTGCAAACAACTGCCCAACAATTGCCTGTTATTCTCCAGGCATGAATGGCTTCCCAGGAAAAGACGGACGTGATGGCTCAAAGGGAGAAAAGGGAGAACCAGGTACAGACTGTGTGATTCTGTCTCTGAAATTCTTTCCTTACCAAAGGAAACTGCCTTGGGATATGAGGATAATCTCTATTTAAGTAGACTGTATTCTTTCAACTACATACAAGGATACTTCAAAACATTCAGGGAAAATGGAATTTAAAAATATGTGTATTGGGGTGACAAAAATTTTGAAATCCATGCATTTTTTTTATGACAAACATTTTCCCTGAACATTTTTGAAAACCTCTCATATTATAATTGAAAACAGAGATGCACTCTCCCTTCTCTGGATTTCCAGATTTCTCTACAAAAGTTTGTGACCACCCTGGAAAGTGACCCTCAGGGCAGGTCATTCCATTGGCCACAGAAGGATTTCTTTTCCTTCTCTGGCTCCTTGGAGTAGTGGTCCAGAAAGGTTGGCCCATTTCAATGTTTCCTTCTGCAAATCCTTGGAGAAATCTAGCAAGGGTATGGATACCAAATCATGACTCTCATCTTCCAACAGGTGAAGGGCTCAGAGGCTTGCAGGGCCCTCCTGGAAAGATGGGGCCTCCAGGAAACCCAGGTCCTCCTGGGTTACCTGGAAAAACTGGCCAAAAAGGAGACCCTGGAGAAATTCGAGGTAAGGAACTTGTCCTAGCAAGGTCTGAGCTAAGGGCCCCCAGAATTCTTGACTACCAAAAAGCAGATTCCACTTTTCCTTATTCTTCAAAGAAAAGTTCCTAACTCTGTTTCCTGATCCAGGACCCTCCTAGGTTAGAGACTTAAGATACGCTTGTTGGTACTTGAGTATAAATATATAAAACTTTCAAAGCCATTCTCTCCCTATTATGCCCTGGAGAAGGTGGGGCCAGGTTTTATTTCAGCTGACATGATCCAACATAAAGACCTGGTTCCAGAGGGACAAAACTGGCTAAGTGTGAGCTTTCTGTGCCTCTTTTCATAAAAGCATATGCTCATGGGATGTTGGTTATATTTCACTCCATAAGAAGTCAATCTCAGGCCGGCGCCGTGGCTCACTAGGCTAATCCTCTGCCTGCGGCGCCAGCAGCCCCGGTTCTAGTCCCAGTCGGGGTGCCGGATTCTGTCTCAGTTGCTTCTCTTCCAGTCCAGCTCTCTGCCGTGGCCCAGGAAGGCAGTGGAGGATGGCCCAAGTGCTTGGGCCCTGCACTCGCATGGGAGACCAGGAGAAGCACCTGGCTCCTGGCATCAGATCGGTGTTGTGCGCCAGCCGTAGCGGCCATTTGGGGGTGAACCAATGGAAGGAAGACCTTTCTCTCTGTCTCTCACTGTCTAACTCTGCCTGTCAAAAAAAAATGAAATCAATCTCAAAATTAGTAGTTTAAAAACACAACCATTTATTTCAATCACAGTTTTGTGAGTCAAGGAATGACTCTGCTGTGATCATGTGACTGTGGTCAACTGAGGACAGTGGTGTCCATCATATAGCTGGTTTCTGTTTGGATGTTAGCTAGAGTGATGAAGGCAATTGAGGAACAGGTCTCTCGTCATGCAACAGGCTAGCCATGGCTTGTTCACATAGCATTGATCTTAAAATTCATAGAGTAGAAAGAAAAGAAGCTTCAAGGCCTCCTTACATCTCAAAATACATAGATTGTACTTTATATCATATTATATTCACTAAAAATATTTTCAAAAACCCAGCCCAAATTAAAGGAGTTGGAAAATAAATTCTATTTATTAAGGAGAGAAGCTATACCATATTATGCCATTTTTGTCATCTGGTACACCTAATTTTCCTCATAGCCTGTCTACTTGGATAATGGGAAACTTACACACACACACACACACACACAAAAAAACTTGTTTTTTGACTAACAGAACAAATTTCACAAAACAAACAAAAAACCAAAAAATAATAATAAAATATCCCCTAAGAAAAAACTTGTAATCTTTTCAGTCAATATTCACCAGCTCATAATAATTGCAAAAGACATTTCTTTTTAGCCTTGATGGAGCAATTTATTTGGAAAATTGATAATTGTGAACAACATGCTCTACGGACGCCTATCTTGCTAAGTAATCAGAGTGTTTTTATGCATGTGTATGTTGTACACATATTCATACACTGCATTTGGATACAGGTAAGAAATGAAGAAAGATGTTTTAGACTTACTGGAGATAGATTTTTATAAGACTTATTGTAATTATTTGAAAGGCAGAGTAACAAAGAGAGAGAGAGATCAATCTTCCATTCACTGGTTCACTCCAAATGTCCACAATGGCCAAGCTGAAATAAGGAGCCTGGAACTCAATCCAGGTCTCTCATGTGGGTGACGGGCCCAAGCATTTGGAGAATCTTCTACTATTTTCCAAGGTACATTAGCAGAGAGATGGATTGGAATCTGAGCAACTGGGTACCAAACCAATGTTCTAATATGGGATGCCAGTATCATTCCATATTATGATTAACCTGCCTGACCACAATGCCAGCCCCAGAAACAGAAATTTCTGTTTTTTTGATTTTTAGTGTTTTTCATATTCCTTTAGGGTGTAAATATCATCATAAGGAGATTTTTTTTTCAGTTTGAAAAAGATATTCCTCCCTGTATGCATGGCTTTGAGATCCTTCTTAACAATGTTCCTTTACTCTTTTTAAATATCCTAGAATGCGATACCAGTGTGGCTGATTCTGAAAGAGGAGCTCTGCGAGCAGAATTAGAGAAAATCAAAAAGTGTAAGCTTGCTTTCTTTTTCTTCATTGAGCTTGAAGTTTGGAAATGGTAGAAAACAATAAATATTTATTGAATACATATCATTTTCTAGATAGGCCTTCTTCATAATCTGATCTCATAAAAATCATTTAGTAGAAATAGTGGCAAAGGAAAGATAAATGACTTGTTCAAATGCACTAGCTAACAAATGTGAAAGTCAGCTTCAAACTGACATCACTTTGAATACAAAGACTCTGATCCTTTATCCTCTGTTTACTGCCCACTTAATATGAGACCTATTCCCCTCTACTATGCTGCTGTTGAGAACTGGTGATGGGGCCCAAAATTTGCTAGTGACCTGGGGAAAATATATTCAAATAACTTTATTTAGTTTCAAGTTAATAATGTGGTAGAATCCAGAATTCCAAAGTGTATGTCCTAGAACTTTTATCCAGATGGACGAATGTCTTTGGGTCAGTATGTCTCTTCACATTAAGGTTCAAATACTTAAACAAAAATAGGACAACAATTAAATTTGAATTTCAGGTTGAAAAAAAAAAAGATTTTTTTTGAGTACAAGTATGTTCCAAAACTTGGACAGGGGTTTATATGAATACTAAATTTCATTGTTTATCTGAAATTCAAATTTAAGTGGACATAATTGTGTTTTATCTGGCCACAGTATTCTAGAAGCCTTTATACAGAATAATACTTTGAGCTAACATCACCTTATTTTCTTTTCTTCACATTTTAGGGCTGTTCTTCTCTTTGGGCAAAAAAGTTGGGAAGAAATTCTTCTTGAACAATCATAGAAAGATGAGCTTTAGTGAAGTAGAAGCTCTGTGTGCCCAATTCCAGGCCTCCGTGGCCATCCCCAATAATGCTAAAGAGAACAGTGCCATCCAGAGCCTGATCAATGACAACACCTTCCTAGGAATTACAGATAAGGCAACAGAAGGCCACTTTGTGGATCTGAAAGGAAGGGAACTGAGCTACCAAAACTGGAATGAGCATGAGCCCAATGATGCTGGCGATGGGGAAGACTGTACAGTGATCATGCCAAATGGCAAGTGGAATGATGTGCCCTGCTCCTCCTCCTATTTTGCAGTCTGTGAGTTCTCTGCCTGAAGGAACTTGTCAACCCTCAGAACACCCCACCCCTATCCCTTTACTATACCACACAGGCCAAAAATCTACCTTGCAAATAAATTCTGTCAATATCTTTGTATTCAGTGCTGGGTCCCTCTTTCATGAGGAATTGGAGAAAATTAGGAGAATAGATTAAATGAATGAGAGAAGGAAGTGAAAAGCAAGGTGAGGAGGTTGACAGTGATCCAAGAAGAGTTTCTGGTTGAGCCCCAATCACTAATGATCACTAACACAACAACACAGTAATAGTAATAGTAATAGTAGTAGTAATTTAATTAGCCTATAATACTTGTATTTGAGTAGTGTTAACTTGCTAACATATAAAAATTAAATAGATTAATTTTTCCATTTGCTACAAGAAACTGCACCTGTTGGGACTCCCTTTCTGATAGGATAGGGGACTTCTCCAGTGACATCACCCCAAACTAACACTATAACTTTTAAGCCAATCTCAGATATTAAGAGAATCTGCTGGGACTGGAGCTGTGTCATAGTAGGTTAAACCTCTGCCTGTGGCGCTGGCATTGTTATGGGTGCCAGTTTATGTTCCGGCTGCTCCTCTTCTGATCAAGTTCTTTTTTATGGCCTGGGAAAGCAGTGGAAGACGGCCCAAGTGCTTAGGCCCCTGCACCCATGTGGGAGACTGGAAGAAGCTCCTGACTCCTGGCTTCAGATTGGCTCAGCTCCAGCTGCTATGGCCATCTGGGGAGTGAAACAGCGGATAGAAGACCTCTCTCTCTGTATCTCCCTCTGTTTGCAATTCTACCTCTCAAATAAATAAATAAAATGTTTTAAAAAAGAGCATCTGTTTTGTAGTTGAAACCTTTTTTAAAAAAATAGATTTATTTATTTACTTGAAAGTCAGAGTTACACAGAGAGAGAAGGAGAGACAGCGGTTTTACTGGCTATGCCACAGCACTGGCCCTGAAACTTTTTTCTTTAATGAGATATTAAATTATTTAAAGATCCCAAGTCTCAAGTAAAAAGATTGAGTTCTCACAAAGATAACCAACTATGTAGTCATTTTCTAGATCACAATCCAGGCTATTTCTAGTATCTTAGCATTCCCTTTGTTATTCCCCCTTGTTGATTTTTCCCCAAAATAAACACTACTTTGAACACTGTGTTCATACATTGATTTTTGTCTATTGATGAATTTAAAGTTGGAATCGAAGTGTTTGTACTGTTTTATGTATTGCTTTTTTCACACAAGATCAAGTCTGTAAAATTCATTCATGTTGTTGCATGTAGCAGTTTATCCCCTTCCATTGCTATATAGATTTCTCTCATTAATATACTTCAGTTTACTCATGTTATTGATAACAGGCACTTGGGCAGCTTACAATTTGTGACCATTAACCAAAAAACTCAAACATTTCTTGTCTTTGGAAGATGTGGTGCATTAACTTCTTGTAGCTATTTACCAAGAAAACGATTTGTTATGTCACGGGAAAAGTACATGCTTACCTTAAATATTTATGGTCCATTTTCTGAGGTAGTCATATAATTTACCCTCCTATCAGCAAGTGTATCACCTGAATAATTTCTCCCCAGGACCACCACCAGCAGAAACTTCTCTAAAGGCTGTCTCTAGGTTCTGAGGTAACCTCATCCACCCCTCTTTTAGGATTTATTAAGTCACACTGTCATGGAGAGATGAAGAATGTCTTCATCTCATTAGCACTGGAATTCTGCCATTCCTAGAGATCCTTAACCAAATGATTATTTTCTGTGCCCTTTACCAGTTTTGTTCTACTCTTGTGTGCTTCCAAGATGTAGTTATCTTGATAGTATTCCCTGAAATGCTGGGCCTTCTTATGCTAATGCTCAACTCTAGCTCCTCAATAATAAAATCCCCACTTATATGCCAGAAGGTCTACATCCATCTGATGCCTGTAATCTGTTAATTTCAATCTCCACTCTGAGCCAGGAGTGACCTCTCCCCCCAGTACTTCTTTTTTTAAAAAGATTTATTTGTATATTTGAAAGGCAGATTTATTTACTTATTTGAAAGAGAAAAAAAGAGAGAAAGACAGAGAGAGAGAGAGAGAGAGAGAGAGAGAGGTCTTCCATCTGTTAGTTCACTCCCCCAAATGGCTGCAATGGTTGGAGCTAGGACAATCCAAACCAGGAGCCTGGAGCTTCTTCTGGGTCTCCCCCACAGATGCAAAAGCCCAGGCACTTGGGCCATCTTCTACTGCTTTCCCAGGCTGTAGCAGAGAGTTGGATAGGAAGTGGAGCAGCCGGGACTTGAACCAGCACCCACATGGGATGCTGGCACTGCAAACCAGAACTTTAACCCACTAAGTCACAGTGCTGGTCCTTCCTCCCCCATACTTCTTAACTAAAAAACTCAACCTCCCCTCTGTTGCTTTCCATACCACAGTCTCTGTCAGAGGTTTTAACTGGAGAGTGGCCACAGAGGGAAAAACAGAACATACAAATTATATACATTAATGAAGAGGTAACTTATGGGTTAGGGCTGAAAATACACATACAAATACCCCTCATTTACCACACATGGAGATGGAGCATCCAACAGAAACTGCGGACATAATATTATTAAGCTCCCCTTCTGGCTTCTGACCCAGTACATTATAAGAGATATGTCAGAATGAAATCCTTTAATGTTCCAGTAGCAGCACAGTCAGGCATAATTTTCAATACACCCCAAAGCTAACATAAAGAAATAATTATGTGGTGATTAGAGTATCCTTCCTCTGAGTGGTGAGTACCCTAACATTAGAGTTACCATAGGCTACATTTGGCTAAGACAGAAGATAAGAAACACAGTTTGCCTTTAGGACAGAACCAAGCATTGTTCTGCATTAGGAGGAGGTCTAATAGCACTTCAACCACCTGTTCTGGAATAAGTCACGGTTCCTCCAGTAAGGAACCAAGTGTGACATAGTTACAAATACACAAGTAGATGCAGTAGTAGCTTAGCAGTGATCCTGGCTTAAAGGTCCCTCATACCTGACAGAAATCAATGTGTCATGTAACTATAGGGAAGATTTCAGGTCACCACACTTTGAGAGAGGAAACCGATGTCCTCCAAACTAGGACTTTGATTTGATTCTGTCTCTAGGATTTGAGTCCAGCAACTGATCCAATTTGTTTTTCAGTTTACCTAATCTTGGAAAATATTTACTCCTGACACAGCACCTCTCCAGCTATCCTCCATTTGCTTTTAATATTTGTGTGTTGGAAATGCAGATTAAGAGTGAATGAGAGAGACAGAGAAAGACTGAAAGAGACAGAGAGAGACAGAGAGAGAGAGACAGAGAGAGAAACACTTCATTTACTATTTCACTCCTCAAATGGCTGCTGCAACAACACAGTTTGGGCTAGTAACCAGTCAGGCCCAAACTAGGAACCAGGAATTCTACAAAATAACTATAAAGACATTTCTCAAAGGAAGACATAGAAATAGGCAACAAGTACATGGAAAGATATTCTACACAACTAATCATCAAAGAAATGCAAACGAAAACCACAGTGAGAAATCATCTCAGAATGAACATCATCAAAAATACAAAAGTTCTGGTGAGGATGTGGGGAAAAAGAATCCATATACAGTTAGTAGGAATATAAATTAGTATAGTTGTCATAGAAAACAGTTATAGAGTCCTCAAAAATTACAAAAACAACTACCATTTAATACAGCAATCCCACTACCAGGTATACAAAAAAGGAAACAAAAGTGGTATGTCAAAGAGATATCTGTACTCCAATATTAACTGAAGCAATATTCACAGTAACTAAGATCTGGAATCAAATGTAGTTTCATCTACAGAAGAATGAATAAAGAAAATGTGAGATATGAGGGGGATTTCAAGATGGTAGAATAGGTAAAGGACATACTGCTTTAAGCTAGGGGAAAATGGTAGCAATAAAGTGGCAGAAGTGCATTATCAGGAGAAAGCTGGAGAAAAATATATAATGGAAATTCTATGGAAGGAAAATGTACACCATGCATCAATGTGTAAGGTATGGGTATACAGCAATGAGCATGGACACAAAGCATTGGTCACCTTGGAAGAGAGCAAGTAAGGGTGTGATTATGCTAACAGCCCCATACCCAGGCCCCTGCTGACAATAGCGGAGATGTACATGCCCAACTTGGGTGTCACCCTGGATGCTCGCCCCATCCTGGAGCACTGGCCAGACCTCCCTAGTGACACCCAGCATAGGCCTGGGTATTCACTGAAAGAGCAGACACTCCACTAAGCCACAGATGAATACTTCAAAGATAAAAGCAATCATAGGAAAAAAAACAACAAGTATCTTCACAAATGCCTAAAAATTAATGCAGAAATTCAAGAAACAAGAATAAAGAAGACAACATGAGTCCCCTAAAGGAACATAACACTTCAATATTAGAATGTGAAGTTGAAGAGATGGATGAAATAAATGCCTGAAAAGGAATTCAAAAGAAGCAAATTTATGGGTTAAAGAAATCCATACATGACATGGAAGAAAAATTTTCCCATGAGATTGAGATTTTGAAGAGAAATCAAAATGAAATATTAGAAATGAAGAATTCAGTATGTCAAATAAATGCCACCTCACTAGTCCAAGTGATAAATTTCAGTTCACAATTGATCATACTGATAGGTCTAAGAGTCAAAGGGATCACATAAACAAGACTAGTGTCTGCTAATACTAACTGATAGAATTAGAAAGGGAGAGAACAATCCAACAGGGGAAGCGGGATACACAGCAGACTCATAGAATGGCAGATGTCCTAAACAGCACTCTGGCCTCAGAATCAGCCCTTAAGGCATTTGAATATGGCTGAAGAGCCCATGAGAGTATTTTAGGTATGGAAAGCCAAGACACTCTGGCAAAAAAAAAAAAAAAAAAAAAAAAAAAAAAAAAAAAAAACACCTGAATGAAAGATCTCTGCAAGTGACATCCCAGTAGAAAGAATGGGCCATCAAACAAGGAGGTACCTTTCTCTGAAGGGAGGAGAGAACTTCCACTTTGACTATGACCTTGTCTGAATAAGATCGAAGTTGGCAAACTCAAAAGGCTTCCATAGCCTTGGCAACTCATGACTAGAGCCTCGGGAGATTACTGATGCCATAAACAAGAATGTCAATTTGTTAGGTCAACAACAGGAGTCACTGCGCACTTACTCCTCTTGTAGGATCTCTGTCCTTAATGTGTTGTTCAATGTGAATTAATGCTATAACTAGCACTCAAATAGTATTTTACACTTTATGTTCTGTGTGTGTGCAAACTGATGAAATCTTTCCTTAATATATACTAAATCAATCTTCTGTATATAAAGATAATTGAAAATGAATCTTGATGTGAATGGAATGGGAGAGGGAGTGGGAGATGGGAGGGTTGCAGGTGGGAGAGAAGTTATGGGGGAGAAAAGCCATTGTAATCCATAAGCTGTACTTTGGAAATTTATATTTACTAAATAAAAGTTAAAAAAAAAAGAATGAAAAAAAGAGCTATATGCCAACAAGTTAGAAAATCTAGAAGAAATAGATTCCTGGACACATACAATTTACCAAAACTGAGTCATGTAGACATAGAAAGCTTAAACAGACAAATAACCAAGAAGAGATTGAATCAGTAATAAAGACCCTCCCAACAATTAATTGCCCAGGACTGGATGATTTCACTGCTGAGTTATACTACAGTTTTCTTTTTGAGATTTTATTTATTTATTTGAGTGATACAGCTACAGAGAGAGGGAGAGACAGAGAAAAAGGTCATCCATCTACTGGTTCACTCCCCAAATGGCCACAATGGTTGGAGCTGTGGCTATGCCTATCTGAAACCAGGAGCTTCCTCTGGGACTCCCAGCTGGGTACAGGGGCCCAAGCACTTGGTCCATTTTGTACTGCTTTGCCAGGCCAGACAGCTGGATTTGAAGAGGAGCAGCGGGGAAATGAAACAGTACCCTCCATCAGACTTTTAAGAAGAATTAATTCCAATTCTTCTCAAGCTAATAAAAATAATTGAACTGGATGGAATAATCCAAAAATCCTTCTATGAAACCAATATCACCATAATTTCAAAACCATAAAAAGGTAAAACAGAGAAAGAGAACTATTGACCAATATCCCTGATGAACATAGATGCAAAAAGCCTCAACAAATCA